CCCCGAGGCCTCAGGGTTTCCCCCGTGACCCCTTTGATTCCCAGCAGGATAAAGGGAATTTTCTTCTCCAGTCCAGAGCCCTGCCCATCCCTCTGCCCCAGCCAGGCTTTTCCCAGATTTCCTGCCCAGGACATTCCAGCCTCAGAGGAGCTGCTGAAAACAGGCAGGGACAGAAACAGCTTTCCCTTTCCCTCCTAAATCTGCCTTTCCTGGGGTTCAGGTGCAGTTTTTGGGGAGCCAGGAGCAGGAAGGAGCAGGGAGGGTCCCTGCTCTCCTCCTGGCTGCTGAGCTGCTGCTGGATCACAAAATCAGTGCTGGGGAGGGGTTTTGTGGGGGCTGCTGAGCCCAAACCCCCTTTGCTGGGAGCTGGGAAAGGAGGAGGGTCCTGGGGGGGAATTCTGGGGGCTCAGAGGAGCTTTGGGGCTGGGGGGTGGCTTTGCTGTGCCCTCACTGTGGCTCTGGTGACACTTGCAGGCCATCATCCACCCCGACACAAACGAGACCATCTTCATGCCTTTCCGAATGTCAGGTACGGCACATCCCCTCCTTTCACCTGGAGTTTGTATAAAATCCTGGGGAGGGGTCTCCTCCTTCTCAACTGAACCTTGTCAACATTTAGACAAAGATCAGGAAGGAATTCCAGCACCAAAATCCATCTGTAGGTGAGGAAAATGAAGATCCTGTGAGATTTAGTGCTTAATAGTTTCTTTTTCCCCCTTTTCTTTTTCCCCCTTTTCTTTATTCCCCTTTCTTTTTTTCCCCTTTCCTTTCCCCCCATTTTCCCCATTTTCTTTTTCCCCCCTTTTCGTTATTCCCCTTTCTTTTCCCCTTTCCTTTTCCCCCTTTCCTTTCCTTTCCCCCTTTTCTTTGTCCCCTTTTCTTTTCCCCCTTTTCTTTTCCCCTTTTCTTTATTCCCCTTTCTTTTCCCCCTTTCCTTTTCCCCCTTTTCTTTTCCCCCTTTTCTTTTCCCCCTTTTCCCCTTTTCTTTATTCCCCTTTCTTTTCCCCCTTTCCTTTTCCCCCTTTCCTTTTCCCCCTTCTTTTCCCCCCCTTTCCTTTTTTCTCT